ATATTAAGTAAAGATCATGTTCCATGAAGATATTTTGTAAATTTCCTACCGTAAATATATAAAAACATAATTTTTGATTAGTAATATGCATTGCTAAGAACTTCATTTGAACAACTTTAAAGGCGATTTTCTCAGTATTTAGATTTTTTTGCAACGTCAGATTCCAGATTTTCAAATAGTTGTATCTTGGCCAAATATTGCCCTATCCTGACAAACCATATATCAATGTATAAATCTTATATATATATAAATCTTATTTATTCAGCTTTCAGATGATGTATAAATCTCAATTTCAAAAAATTGACTCTTATGACCCTTGTGGTCCAGGGTCACATATGTACTAAACCGTTTAAAAGTTTGGGGTCAGTAAGATTTTTCAAAGTAATTATTTATTTATTATTTAGGATTATTCCAAACAGATGCATTAAATTGATGAAAATGTACAAAAAAATGGTTACAAAATAATTGCTGTTCATTTGAACTTTCTCTTCACTAAAAATTCCTAAAAAAGTATTACTGTTTCCACAAAAATATCAGTAGCATAACTATTATTGTAACTATTATATTAAAATTTTACTGTATTGTTGATTAAATAATTGTAGCTTTGGTGAGCATAAGAGATGTTTTTTGTTTTTTTTAAGCAGTAATGTATCTTACAACCCTAAACGTTTGAACGGCAGTGTATGTGTTTGATATGTGTAACAGTTGTGTATTTCCCCATCGTGCTGTCTTTAGGCTGATGTGATTGATGAAGTGTATAATTTGGTGGTGGACGCCATCTTTGGATTCAGTTTTAAGGGTGCGGTGCGAGAGCCGTTCGGTGACATCCTCTCCCAACTAAAGAAAATCACTGTGCCCATTGCTAGCGTTGACATACCTTCAGGTGAGAACACACAAATAATCACTGATTTAATTGCAATCTAAGCATTTAGTAGAAAAAAACTTTGTTTTTTTTTTATCTTTGTGATTAGCATTTATGAGCCAACAAGCATCTTTTATTGAATAAAATGCCTCGTAACAGTAAGTCGACTAGTGTATCATAAATATCTTCAGATTGTGTAATTTCTTTCATTTATTAGGTTGGGATGTGGAAAACGGCTGTCCTGATGGGATTCAGCCTGACATGCTCATCTCCCTCACGGCCCCTAAGAAAGCAGCCAATCACTTCAAAGGACGCTACCACTTCCTGGGAGGACGATTCGTTCCTCCTGCACTTGAGCAGAAGTACCAACTGAATCTGCCTCAATACCCAGGCACTGACTGTGTTCAGCAGTTGAACTGAGCATTAAGTCCTTCAAGTCATTTTTGTGTCACTAATTAAAAAAAACAACAAAAAAAACTGGGTTATAACTTTGATTTACCACTCTGAATACTTTTTCAACTTTTCTCGAAATGGGTAGATATGGACTTGATTAATCAGCGTCAGTCAGTAATCGTGAAACTTCTTATTTGCAAGGATTGTTACAGAATGTTTCAGAGGAATCACTCTTAATTAGTTATGTATGAATTTATAAAAACATCAAATTAAAATAAATAAATATTTAATTAAAGTTTTTGGTGGTTATGGATTTAATGACTAAGTCTGAATAATTGCTGCATTATTGTTTCGTGTTTGAATATAATAATGTTACATATTTACATATGGAAACGTGTAACATTCCAAATGGCATAAAAATACAAAAATAAATAAATAAAGCTATAACAGTATGTTAAGGAATATTTTTTATAGACAAACAAGTCAGCACACACTCGGGCAGTTGTGTAGGACAAAGAAATGAAGTCCCAATTCTGTATATATTTATTAAAACAGCACCTTTTTCATGCCTGAATAAGGTGTTAAAGGGTTAGTTCACCCAAAAATGAAAATTAGCCCATAAATTACTCACCCTCAAGTCATCCTAGGTGTATATGACTTTCTTCTTTCAGACGAATCCAGTCGGAGTTATATTAAAAATTGTCTTTGAAGACACTTTTTATTATGGATGGGCGCTTTTTATTTCACTTCTTTGAAGTCCGACTGGATTCGTCTGAAAGAAGAAATTCATATACACCTAGGATGACTTGAGGGTGAGTAATTTATGGGTTAATTTTCATTTTTGGGTGAACTAACCCTTTAAGACTAAAATATTGCTGTTTCATTAAATATAATGAATTTTGCAAGCTGCAGCAGTGTACAGAGCATCTTCCAATTTCTATAATGGAAATTTTTTCTTGCACACAAGAAAAATCCATAAGATTCTTTCCATGAGAAATGTCTAACTAAAAATATATCATAGATCAGTCCAAGATGGTATTTACTTTGTTTAAAGATTGAGTGGTTTATATTTTTATCTGTAGTTTATAGACCCGAAATCTGCACTGAAATAGAAATTTTGTTCATTTCACACCATATAAATAGCTTTATAATACAGCACAACCCATTTGTGTTTCATTCAAAGTAATTAAAATTCATGTCTAGTCATAATTGCCAAAAACACATCTTATCTTACATTATCAGTTTCAACTGTTTACATCTATTAAAAGTAAAAAAAACAAGCCACAAAACAATAATGCTTAAAATGCGGGTCCCTCCCATTTTGCTCACTGATATGAACATCCACTGAGGGTCAAGTATGAAGAAATGCCTCCATGCAGGTATGACATGATCCATGTCACAGATAAATGTCTTGGTTTTCTCTTGATGCCTTTGTCTGGATGTTCATTCATCTGTTCAGGAGCTGTTACAGCAGGACCGTCTCTCCTCATTAAACTCACTGGAGGGGCCCAGAGTCACCGCGCTGATCGAGCCTCTGGTGACCTCTTTACTAGCAACTTTCTTGTGTATTGCTGATGAAGGAAACATAAATCAACACTGTCTTTATGCATTTAAAGTCAGTTCAAATCTAGAAGGTTTTTAAACTAAAGGAGGTATAAACTGGTTATGAAGTTTTAAATAATTATGATTTTTAAACGTTTTGAAATAAGTCTCTTATGCTCAGCAAGGCTTAATTTATTTGATCAAAAATACAGTAAAAACTGAACTAAAACTTAAAAGAACTTAGATTAGAATGAGTTCTATTCGGAAAGGATCAGGTGACACTGAAGTCTGGAGAAATGATGAAAATTCAGCTTTGCATCACAGGAATAAATTACATTTCAAAATATATTAAAATAGAAAACAATTATTTTAAATGGTAATATTTCACAATTTTACTGTTTTACTGTATTTTTGATCAGATAAATGCAGCCTTGGTGAACACACTGTAAAAAATCTTAATTATTCCAAACTTTTGCCTGTCAGCGTAAATCCTATAAATCTTGCTGTGATTCAATGTTAATCAGTGACTTAAAGTAAAAAGCAAACTCACCTGTTAGAACTTCAAGGAAGGCAGATTCGACATTAGTTGACTCTAATGCGGACGTCTCCATAAAAAGTAAGCCTTTGGCCTCTGTTTTATCAAATAAATAAACCATAAAAGGGAATTAAAATAAAAAAATTAAGGTGAAAGCTCATTCAAAAATGAAAATTCTCACACTCATGTCATACTAAACCTTTCTTTCTTCTGTGGAACACAAAAGAAGATATTTTGAAGAATGTCTAAACAACATTAGACCCCATTAACTTTCATTGTACATGCAAAAAAAAAAAAAAATCTAAATGTCATCTTTCGTGCTCGGCAGAAGACAGAAAGTTGCACAGGTTTGGAATAGCATCATTTAAGGCACATGTCAAACTCCGGTCCTGGGGGGCCACTGTCCTGTAGAGTGTAACTTCAAAACCCCTGCCTGGAAGTTTTCTAGTAATCCTGAAGACCTTGAGTAGCTGGTTTAGGCTTGTTTAATTAGGGTTGGAGCGAAACCCTGCAGTAGAGTGGACCTTCAGGAAGTGAATCTGACATCCCTGATTTAAGGGCTTAAGTCTCAATCTAAGTCTAAAACAAAGAGTTATGAAATGCATTGACACCTGCAAAGTCCTTCGCCTCCTCTGTTGGCACAGTGCGTACATTTCCCAGGTCACCTTTATTTCCCACAAGCATGACTACTATGTGAGGATCAGCGTGGTCATACAGCTCCTTCAGCCATCGCTCCACATTCTCATACGTCAGGTGCTTGGTGATGTCATAAACCAGCAGCGCACCCACGGCTCCCCTGTAATAACTACAAAGAACCAAACTATTTATTATTACATATGCAGAAACAGAAAGTGGATATAGGCTCAAATTGTACTTTATGATTCATTACTTTGTTTAAAATGAGAAAGGTCCTTTTTCATAGTCATAACCTAACATAATGCATTACTTTTCACAGGTATTCACATAAGATAAAAGTTTTTTTCAGAAGTTAATGCTTTTAGTTTTGTAAGTATGCATTAAAAAGTGACAATAAAGAAATGTATAATAAAATAAAACATCAGTTTCAAATAAATTGTTCTTTTGAATGTTCTATTTAACAAAGAATACTGAAACAAATACACAACATTAAACAAAGTTGTTTTCAGTATTATTGCTAATAATGAGAAATGTTTCTTGAGCAGCAAATCAGCGTATTAGAATGATTTCTGAAGAATCATGTGACACTGAAGACTGGAGTGATGATGCTGAAAAGTCAGGAATAAATTACATTTTAAATCATTATTATTTAAAATAAGCTAAAAAAAATTATACTGTAATTGTGATCAAATAAATCAGCCTTGGTGAGCATAAGGGACAAAAATCTTACAGAACCCAAATTTCTAAATGGTAGCCTTGATGCAGCATCTCTTGTAAAAGTTCACTATTTGCTCTCATGATAATTATACTTAAAATATAATATAATTATCCCCTGTGTGTAGCTGTGGCTCTCAAAAAGCACTTTGGATACTTAACATGCACTGTATGAATGTTACTACAGTGACATAAAATCTCAAAACCAATGACAAACCATTTATTATTTTACTCTTTTAGCAAAAGAGTAAAATGTAACCTAAATGCTTGTTGTTAGGGTAACTGTAGATGTCAGTCACATGTCAGTTATACTTTTAACTGTTTCCCAGACTAAAAAAGGAGTGGTTCTGGGTGTGATGCTAAATCAATCACTACGAATTCCACAGCCGCCATTATCCTAAATAAGGATTCATGTGAACGTGCATAGATCAGATATATCCTTAGGATTAAAGAATATATATTTTGAGATGAGGAAATGAGTGACTTACGCTGAGGTAATCGCCCTGTAGCGCTCTAGACCTGCAGTGTCCCAGATCTGGGCCTTGATGGTAATACTATCCACTTGAATGGAGCGAGTGCTGAATTCCACTCCAATGGTTGTACGGCTGTCATGATTGAACTCGTTTTTGGTAAATCTGGACAGTAGGTTGCTCTTTCCAACCCCTGATTCTCCAATTAAAACCACTGAAAGACAACAAAAACCTTTTAGCTTACTTTAATTGATTGAGTTTTTATTCTAATTGACAAAATTAATAGCTACAATTCATGCCTCTAACAGAAACACAGGAAAAGAGGGTGACAACACCAAATAACCAATTTATTACATTTTTTATATGCTTATAAGATTATTATTTATCATTCAGACCGTAAAAACTGTCTGAGATCAAATCTGATCTCTAGTCAACTGATTCAAACGTACCTTTGAAGACAAAGTTGTAGGCTAAATCTGTCCCCATGTTCACCCTAGCAGTAATGTGTCAGTCTGTATGCTTACGTGTTACTCTAGCTCGAAATCCACTGGGAGGAGAAAAGCAGATGCTCAGGTTTCTGAAAAGCTTTATCGATCCATTCTTGTGCTGGTCTAAAGGCAGATTCCACACGGCAAGACTCTTCTTTGAGACAGGGTGGGAGAGCAGGAGAAACAGGTCGAACCACTGACACACAATGGGAGTGACTTCACACTCTCACACAAAACTGTTTAATCACAGTTCTTTCTCAGTCCAACAGTACATGTATCCAGTTTGTATGTCTGTAAACCAGACATACAACTGAGTCATAAAACCAGCTGTCCTGTATCAACATAGCTACTTTTCAAACCTGTCACATTCACAACTTCTGCTGACAGATTCAGTTTCTGCAAACATAAAATAAAGGGCTTTCACTTAATATGCTTATAAGCAGGGATGTATTATTTCAATAAAAACGCAAATTAACTTTATTTTGATGCAAATTTACCTGTTTGTTTCATATTAGGCTGGTAAATCACATTACATGTCAGTATTCTTGCTTAATGATGGGTACATACAGCTCATGGTTATATTAATAAACTGCATGTTTGATTTTGAGGACTGTTTTGTTACTTTTGTATGATAGTGTATTGGGTTGCCACAGGTGTCCAGACGGTCCAGACAGGTCCTGAAACACTGATATAGCACTGCTCTGGCTCCCTTTTACGAGCATTAGCAATATTAAAAACAAAGATTAAGTGATGTGACTACAAAAAAAGAGCAAAGGACACAGTAAATCAGAATTAAACAGCCGCAAAGGCGATAACGTTCATCCTCCTGTCCTGTAGGCGGCAGCACTGCCTTACGTGGCGCTGTTGTGTTGTATTGAATCGCGAATCGCTACAGAGAGGAAAGCGAATCACTTCCGTCAGAACACACGTCGGGTTCATCATCATGGCGGCGGGACCGATTTCAGAACGAAATCAAGGTAAATTTAATAAATAGAAACTCGTAGGGATACTTTAATGCACTATATTTGCGAAAAGAAAAGTATTACAGAACTATGGAAAGATTTAAGCTTTTCATATCTTCTCGATTAGCCAAATATGCGTGCTAAAAGCAAATAACAAAGAAAAGTTTTGGTTTTAATTTAGATGAAGTGAATCAAACTAATATAATATATGCACGTGTTACTCTAGCTCGAAATCCACTGGGAGGAGAAAAGCAGATGCTCAGGTTTCTGAAAAGCTTTATCGATCCATTCTTGTGCTGGTCTAAAGGCAGATTCCACACGGCAAGACTCTTCTTTGAGACAGGGTGGGAGAGCAGGAGAAACAGGTCGAACCACTGACACACAATGGGAGTGACTTCACACTCTCACACAAAACTGTTTAATCACAGTTCTTTCTCAGTCCAACAGTACATGTATCCAGTTTGTATGTCTGTAAACCAGACATACAACTGAGTCATAAAACCAGCTGTCCTGTATCAACATAGCTACTTTTCAAACCTGTCACATTCACAACTTCTGCTGACAGATTCAGTTTCTGCAAACATAAAATAAAGGGCTTTCACTTAATATGCTTATAAGCAGGGATGTATTATTTCAATAAAAACGCAAATTAACTTTATTTTGATGCAAATTTACCTGTTTGTTTCATATTAGGCTGGTAAATCACATTACATGTCAGTATTCTTGCTTAATGATGGGTACATACAGCTCATGGTTATATTAATAAACTGCATGTTTGATTTTGAGGACTGTTTTGTTACTTTTGTATGATAGTGTATTGGGTTGCCACAGGTGTCCAGACGGTCCAGACAGGTCCTGAAACACTGATATAGCACTGCTCTGGCTCCCTTTTACGAGCATTAGCAATATTAAAAACAAAGATTAAGTGATGTGACTACAAAAAAAGAGCAAAGGACACAGTAAATCAGAATTAAACAGCCGCAAAGGCGATAACGTTCATCCTCCTGTCCTGTAGGCGGCAGCACTGCCTTACGTGGCGCTGTTGTGTTGTATTGAATCGCGAATCGCTACAGAGAGGAAAGCGAATCACTTCCGTCAGAACACACGTCGGGTTCATCATCATGGCGGCGGGACCGATTTCAGAACGAAATCAAGGTAAATTTAATAAATAGAAACTCGTAGGGATACTTTAATGCACTATATTTGCGAAAAGAAAAGTATTACAGAACTATGGAAAGATTTAAGCTTTTCATATCTTCTCGATTAGCCTTGAGTCGCTTACTTCCGTTCATTCAAATATGCTTGCTAAAAGCAAATAACAAAGAAAAGTTTTGGTTTTAATTTAGCTGAAGTGAATCAAACTAATATAATATATGCATATTAATATTATAAGTAGCAGGAACATTAATCAAAATAGTGTGTATTTTATTTTATAAGAGCCTTACTTGGGGAAGTCGTGGCCTAATGGTTAGAGAGTCGGACTCGTAACCCAAAAGGTAGCGGGTTCGAGTCTCGTACAGGCAGGGATTGTAGGTGGGGGGAGTGAATGTACAGCGCTCTCTAAGGTTGCGGGTTCGAGTCTCGTACCGGCAGGGATTGTAGGTGGGGGGAGTGAATGTACAGCGCTCTCTCCACCTTCAATACCACGACTGAGGTGTCCTTGAGCAAGGCACCGAACCCCCAACTGCTCCCCGGGCGCCGCAGCATAAATGGCTGCCCACTGCTCCGGGTGTGTGTTCACGGTGTGTGTGTGTGTGTGTTCACTGCTGTGTGTGTGCACTTTGGATGGGATAAATGCAGAGCACTAATTCCGAGTATGGGTCACCTTACTTGGCCACATGTCACGTCACTTTTTTTCACTGTCCAGTGCAATAGTGTTCATTTTTATCATTTATTTTTCTCAGATGCCACTGTATATGTGGGTGGTCTTGATGAGAAGGTCTCTGAACCTTTGTTATGGGAGCTTTTCCTGCAAGCTGGTCCTGTTGTAAACACACACATGCCCAAAGACAGAGTAACAGGACAACATCAGGGTGAGTTACCTTATCTTTAAACCTTCAGAGGAAAAAAAACAAACTACCATTTGCATGCTTTTAAGTTGAGATTTCTCTCCATTCTCCAGGTTATGGCTTTGTGGAGTTCCTCAGTGAAGAGGATGCAGACTACGCCATAAAGATCATGAACATGATCAAACTTTACGGCAAACCCATACGAGTCAACAAGGCTTCGGCACACAACAAGAACCTTGACGTCGGTGCCAACATCTTCATTGGCAACTTGGACCCTGAGATCGACGAGAAACTGCTTTATGACACTTTCAGTGCTTTCGGCGTGATCCTTCAGACACCGAAGATCATGCGAGATCCGGACACGGGCAACTCGAAGGGTTATGCTTTCATCAACTTTGCAAGTTTTGATGCTGCCGATGCAGCTATTGAAGCCATGAATGGCCAGTATCTCTGTAATCGGCCCATCACGGTTTCATATGCCTTTAAGAAAGACTCAAAGGGCGAGAGGCATGGCTCAGCTGCAGAGCGTCTCCTGGCTGCCCAGAATCCACTTTCACAGGCCGATCGTCCCCATCAGCTTTTCGCAGATGCTCCTCCACCTCCCACCATTCCTACACCGGTCATGACCGCCCTTGGAACAGGGATTCCAATTCCAGGTTAGTTAAAGGGATAGTGGGCCAAAAATTCTGTCATTGTTTACTCACCCCCATGTCATTCCAAACCCGTAAAACTTTGGTTCATCCTTGAAACCCCAAATTTTCATTTTTAATGAACCTCAGAAGTTTCTATCCCTTCATTGAAAGTCAAGTCACTTTTGTTTACATAGTGCTTTATACAATACACGTTGTTTCAAAGTAGCTTCATAGTATTAAACTGGGAAATAACAGAATCAATGAAGAAACTACTTCACATAGGAGACAAATTCTGCTCTAAAAAGACAATAGTGTCATTATTCAGCTCCAGTCAGTTCAGTGATAATGCAGTTCTATGACAGTATAATGTTCATCAATTATATAAATAAAAAGTTCATTTCAGCTATAAGCAGCTCTACATAAGATGTTGTTGTCCTTTTTCAGCTTGAGTCAGATTGATTGATTCCATTTAGTGTAATAAACCTTGCACAATTTGTCAGTTATGAATAATTTATGATTTAATTTAGGCTTTTATTTACATGTAAACAATGACTGACACATACGTCTAGCAGATCACATTTGTGTGTCGATTATTGTTTAGCCTAAATCAAATCTGTTCATCATATAAAATGATCATATCTCTTCTGAAGACTTGGAACATAAACTGCTCCAGTCCTACGGATTTGTTTTATGATGCATTTATAAACTTTTGGGGTCTTTTACGTTTTGGATAGCTTGACATTCAGTGGAGGGACAGAATCCTGTCATGTTTTGTCAAAAATATCTTAATTAGTTTTTTGAGGGTTAACCAGTCTTATGGGTTTGGAACAAAATGAGTAAATGATGACAGTATTTTCAATTTTTGTGTGAACTAACTCTACAATGTAAGCATCTTGGACCCAAATATGTTTCCGAATATTTATTTCTTATTATTGGTCCAGTAAATGTCTTTTGTGTCTAAATATTTTGTAAATTTCTCTTGCAGGAATGCCACCTCCTGGTGCTTTCCCACATGTTCCTCCTCCTGGCACAATGCCACATGGGATGCCACCCAGTATGGGCATGCCTCCTGCACCAGGTACTCCTACACCACAGGGCGGCGGCGCAGGGCCCCCACCGGGACCCCCGCCCTTCCCTCCTGCAGGAATGAATCCACCAGGAATGCCGCCCATGCCCATGCATCCGTCAGGACCTCCAGGAATGGTGCCTCACCCACCTGGTCCGCCTGGATCTAGTCAACAAAGAGCACCACCTCCACCCGGCATGCCTCCTCCTCCACCCATGGGTGTACCTCCCAGAGGACCGTTTGGTCCCCCAATGGGTATGTGTGTGAAGTAGTGCCTTGTTGTGCTTTTAAATGGAAGTAAAATAGACGTAATTCAATATGCAATAATTCCTCTCATATTTTACAGGTCCACCAATGCATCCAGGGATGAGGGGACCTCCGCCAATGCCACCTCCAGGTTATGGTGCCGGCCCACCCAGACCCCCGCCCTTTGGTTTTCAGAGAGGGCCTCCTTTGCC